AAATTAAAAAAAATAATTATGCCTTTACATTAAAATATAAAATAAACTTTGAACTTTTCTCTAGTTAATAGAAATTCTTCCCTTTCATAATTTCACTGGAATTCACAATAAACTCTAAAAATTAAATAGACAACCAAGCATTCACAGTTTTCTCAATTTCTTGATTTTACTGATAAGCTACTACACTTTTTTATGTTATATGTATATCAGTATATGTAAAGAAATTAACTAGGCAATTCATTAATAGAAATGGCTATGAGCAGTCAATGAATCTAGTAAATTCTAGAAAATCTAGACTTTTTCTATGTTAAATCAATCCATAAACAAATTATTTAAACTTCTTACCATTTGGATCTGTAGCTTATAGCTGTAGGTGGAGTGGTCTGACAGTAAAGACAGTTTAGCAGCTCAACAGTAGTCACAAAGGTAGCTCAACAGACCACAGATCGACTTTGACTTCGACTTTGAGCAACAGCAGCAACAGTGGTGCAACAATAGTCTAGACTCTAGATGGATTTGGTTTAGCAGCAGCAATCCAAACTCCAGATGGATCCGGTTCGGCAGTAGCAATGTGTTTGAGGTAGAAGGGTAAGATGTGAAATAGAGAAAGGTAGAAGGGCAGAAGGGTGGCAATGAAGGGAATCGAGGGATTTAAGGTTTGAGATTTGTAGGGGAAGGCCAAAGGGAAAGGTCAAAGGTGACCTAGGTGAGAGACAAAGAGAGTCCAAGAGTGAGAGGCAGAGGCAGTGTGAGAACTGGAGAAATGAATAAGGTTACTTAGGGTTAAAAGGATTGGGTTGGATTTGAAAAAATTGGGTTAAATTTTATTGAATTCGGTTTGGGTTTGAAAATTATATTAAATTTAAAATGAAATTAATTTATATATATATTTTTAAAGTTTTCACGGGAATGTGGATCCCCACGAGGTCTCGTGTGGAGAAAAAAATTTCTCACAAAATTTCACGAAGAGAAAATACCTCTCATCCCCACTCCACGAAAAAGAATATTCATCCCTGCTCCGTCCCCGTGAGACCCCATGAAGATCGAGGTAAATTGACATCGCTATTGGGCATCCCCATATTGATATGGAAAAGAAAGCGAAGATGCTTGCTTCTTTCCCTTTTTGTCTTTTTCTTCTTTGTTCGTCTACTACTTTCTTGGATTTCCACCTCGAAAGTGGAATTCTCTTCTTCTTATTTGGAATTGGAGGTCTCATTGCGAGGAAAAAGAAGGACAATTATTGCAGACCCCAACTAGCCTGCAAATATTGACCCTGAAAAACGCCAAAAAGAAAAGATAATGCAATCTCTTATCTTTTTGGCCTTTTCCATCTAATTTCTTGAATTTTTTTTCTTGCTCATAAAATTTTTAATTTCAAACCTATGAAATTGTCTTCCTTTTACCTTGAGGGTCCCAATGTTTTTTCTTGGTCATAAAATTTTTAATTTCAAACCTATGAAATTGTCTTCCTTTTACTTGGAAGGTCCCATTTGCATTTAATTGGATGGTTAAGGCATCTTTTGCTTTCCAAAGAGAACGTTAATAATGAAGAACTGTTGTTTTATTGGGGAATTGTAAAACAAAAATTAATAAATAAGGGATAAATTTTTGAGAGAATGAAATATTATGACGTCACTGCAACCATGGTGGATCCAGGGAACACCTCCATTTGTTCATCAAGATGTTTTAATTTCAAAGTATAATCAGTAAGTCAATCCATTGGTAAGTAAAGCAGCGGCAAATGCAGCTGTGTCTGTGAAGTAATCTTGGCTGCAAATTAAGGCGAATAAGAGAGAGACACAGTGCATTGTTGTTGGATCATTCCTTTCTTCCTCATTATAGCAGAAGCATTCCTACATGAAAGTGTTGTTCCTCGAACATTCTTTTCTATCTCCACCTTATGTCATTGTTGTGCCTCAGTCACAAGATCAAATAAAATAATAATTAGTGAACTTATCAAAGAATAACGATAAGAAAATATCATCAAAATAGACGTGAAAAGCTTATTTGCTTTAAGGCGATTCACGTCTCTATTAAGAATAGATCAACCAGTGCAGCAGAGATATATTTAGCATGCCACTCCCAGGATGCTACAGCTTTATAATTACACTTTATGAATCTGCACTATTCATAGAGTGACCTAATTCAAAACACTCTTCTTTGTCCAAGAATATTTAGAGGATAGAGTAAGGTAAGAAAAATAGGAGAATGTGGAGGAACACTCTTTTGTTAAGCAAAAAGACATGTCCTATTTATAGGACTCATGATCTTGTAACTCCCATTTGTAGGTTAATGATAGGAATAAATTGAACAATTATTATGAAATAATGTGCCTTTAAGTAGGGTAATTAACCTACAACGGCTAGATTGACCAAATCCTTAATAGGACAATAAATTCAATTTAGAAAATACATTATTTTATTTTTTATTAAAATATTTAAGTTTTAGCAATTCCTCCACTATTTTAATAAAAAATAAACTTTTCTTTTGGTCATAGATAAATTATTATGCATAATAAAGGTAGCTAATCCTTGAACCTTTATTTAGTGAGTTGACAATTCTTAATCCAAAGTCAATAGTGAACTAAGTCTTGAACTATGACTCCATTGGAAGATACAAGAATTGTATCACACATAATGATCCGAATGTTGAGTTTTTCACATAGTTGGCGCATTGTGGCCTTGCACATGATTTCGGTTTTCATGGGTGATCTAGAAAATTGCCCATCCAATTTTCATAGAAACGGCCTCACTTCGACACCCACATAGGTGAAAATTGTCAAGAGTGCTCCCATAACTAAGACACCCCACTCTATGAGCTACAAATTTCATTAAGAGTATATTACTCAACTTTTAATTTGTTATGAGATAGATGCATCCTCACCTTAGGAATGAGATTGAAAATTTTTTCCATTAAATACTGATGCATCTTTCAACAACAACTTCTCTATTATTCGTTTTTCCCATTCAAAACCCAATTCTTAGAATTCGGGTTAGGTATCCTCATAGGAAGTTCTATATTATTGGGTTTGAATCCCATTCCTCTCAATGAGCACTAGACCTTGGACTATGATCATAGATTTTTCTCCAATTTTTGTTTTTGCTAAAGGCCTAGTTGGTGGTATAGTGGGTAATGAAGAATTTAACTCATTCTTTTTCTCACTTTTTCAAATCAACCTACATCTCTACTAGCTCATAAAATTCACATTCATATTTCTCAAATTCTCAATTCATGGTGCCACAATCTTGATATTAAATCAGCTAGTGAACCACCATTTTCTTTCCATACATGTAGAGACATGTATTTAAGAATTTTTTAACTCAAACACCATTGTACCTTGTTGTACAATAGGAATGTCCATCACATACCCCTTTTCTCAAATGCCTTATTATTTTTTTCATCATACACCATTATACCATAATTGTATAATAGGAATGCATATCTCATTTACTTTGTTAAGCACCATTATACCTTATTGTATAATAGGAGTGCACATCACATTTGCTTTGTTAAGCACCATTATACCTTAATGTATAATAGAAATGCTATGCAAAATCTCAATTAGGCATCATTGGTCTAGGCATCATTGGTCTAGGCATCATTGGTCTAGGCATCATTGGTCTCATCACCAATAATAATACATAGGGACATCACATTCCCCCACATTAGGAGCATCTCAAATATGTGATTTTCACACTCCTCAAATAATTGAGTTCATGAAGAAACTCACTTTCTCACAAAATTTCATAAGAGCATATTAGCTCATCTCACATTTTATCACCACAAATGGCTCCTCGATCACGTAAGCTTAAAAATTTAACTTACGTTTCCGGAATATCAACCCAAATATCATGTCCATTTTTACCAAAATAATTCCATGGACCAACTCAAGTAGCTTTTCACTTGGATTCTCAAAGTTTCACCTATTTCATCAAAAAACTGAATAATATGTTCAATTAAGTGCACATCAAAACGCCTTAAAATTGTTGTTTCTCAAACATTCTTCTCCATCTCCACATCATGTCATTGTTGTGCCTCAGTCACAAGATCAAATAAAATAATAATTAGTGAACTTATCAAGGAATATTAATAAGAAAATATCATCAAAATATGTGTGAAAAGCTTACTTACTTTAAGGCGAATTTTTCACGCCTCTGTGGAAAGTGAATCAATTGGTGTAGCAAAGATATATTTAGCATGCCGCTTCCAGGATGTTACAGCTGTATAATTACACTTTATGAATCTATACTATTCATAGAGTCACTTAATTCAAAACATTCTTCTTTGCCCAAGAATATTTAGAGGATATAGTAAAGTAGGAAAAATAGGAGAATGCGGAGGAACACTCTTTTGTTGAGCAAAAAGATATATTTTATTTATAAAACTCATGATTTTGTAACTCCCATTTGTAGGTTAATAATAGGAATAAATTTGGAAATTATTATGAAATAATTTGCCTTTTAAGTAAGGTAATTAATCTATAATAGCTAGTTTGAACAAATCCTTAATAGCACAATAAATTTAATTTATAAAATATATTATTTTATTTTTTATTGAAATATTTAAGTTCCAACAAAAAGTAATGTTAATATCAAAGCATCCACACTCACATGAGTTATATCTGATGGTAGTAGAAGTTAATTAACAAATGGATCCAGAAAATCCATATCCTGCAAAGTTGAATGAAATTTATTTTAAAGTCCAGCATTTTGAGACTAAATTGTGAAGATATCTTACAAGAAAACTCTACGATTTATATTCATATGAGAAGGATCACTAGAACTCCCATACATCATACTGCACCAAATATTTTGGATCAATGCCATTGTTGGAATTCCTTTAGCATTTTCACTACCTTGGAGGCTTGGACTTGGAATCTTGACCAATCACCTTTAACTAATACTGTAGTTGACTTTAAAGAAAACTAGAATGAAAAAGGTAAAGGGTTTATCTTTGTTCAAATCCTATAAGATACAAGACAAGAACTACGTAAGATGTTATGAAGTTGCAAGGAAGCAATCGCCAAAATTATGAGAAATTTAGATGAACATCAAGAAGATGGGGGTTCGGGGAGGATAGTTAAGGCGATATTGTTCTAAACATGCCATGATGCCAAGTATTGTTCAAATGTTGCTAATATTACATGTCAGTTGAAGTAACTGGTACCTTACGCATTTCTGGTTTGCTACTTTTTGGTTTCTGACTTTTTTCCTCTTTTCATCAGTAGTCTACAAGGTCACCCATTTTTGGTTCTTTCCTTTGTGTTTTGCGTACATAAAAGTAAGGGAACGTGTGGGAGACTAATTTGTTGTTAGGAGATGAGATGGGATCCACTGAATTCCCCTGCACCAGAATCAATATAGAAATAATAACACAAAGATGGCACATCTTGTAAGCTGCAACAGGAAAAGGAATCAATTAATAAGTACATCGCTGAAATGAAAGGTAAAGACAGATATCTTGAGCGAATTAAAATCCTAAATAATAACATAAACAAAAAAAGTAAGTAGCACAATAGAAATTAAAACAGGTAGTTTGGCTACTCACAGGGTAAGTTCTGCTTTCCCAACTGAGAGATTGCAAAACAGCAGCTTCAAATAGATTACAGACTTGTTGAATTCACCAACAGTAATCCGCTTTCCAGTTCCAGCCCACAGAAAATCCCATTTTAACAAAAGGCCAATCTAGATGGCCAAAAACCAAAACCATGTTCCAGGCAAGAAGGAAGGTCACTAATCTCACTAACACTGAAGCCGCAGACCACTAGTGTCGATGCTGTCACTAACACTGAGCTTTTCTATTGATTTTCTTGTACTAACTTTTGTAGGTGATAAGCTGTACTGTTGTGCAACCACTGCAAAGATCAGTGCTAAGGTAAGAAAGCTAGAACATTATAACGTGTTAACCAACTACTGGAAATGATTTGCTTAGATGATTGATTTGTGGATTTCAGGAGGGTGGTGGTTCACATGTCTTCAACTTGATACACGTACAACAAACTTGGCTAGAAGGATTGGAAATGAAAGATAATTCAGCTTGGCTGTTCTAGATGCCTGATGTTCCTGGCTTCAGAGTATATTCAGTATTCAATTGAAATAAACGTATTAATGATTGTAATATTTCATTTCTTATGTATCAAGCCAGAAACACAGCTGTAGGAGATCAAATATCATTCCCCTCTTAACTTCAAGGATCATATATATGCAGCCTTCTTATACTTTGACAAAGACGAGAGTGGATACATCACTCAGGATGAGCTCCAGCAGGCCTGCCAGCATTTTCGCTTGGAAGACATTCATTTGGAAGAGAATTCGCGGAGTTGATAACAATAATGTAAGTAACATAACATTCAGAGGTTTAACTAAATTTTCATTTCCCATTTAGCATTACTTTGTTTAAATTACTGCTGGTTTGAAATACTTGTACCGGTTAAGCTGTGTGTTATGTGCAGGACGGGAGCATTGGCTACAGTGAGTTTGTAGCCATGATGCAAGACACTGATTTTGGGAGGAGGCACAAAGTATAACTTAAGTATGGGATTCAAAGGACAATTTAAGAATTGACACCTGATTTTGCTATTCCGAGACTGTAAAGTCAAAAGATCAAATGAATGTTCTAACTAGATTTCCTACCTGATAACTTCACAGAAATTGGAATCCATAGTGCTGTAAAGATATATTGCCAGCCTCAGGAAAGAATCCATTTTTGTTCATTTTCTCTTAGGTGCATCAAATTAAGTTTTGATGAGGCCAAATTCTGAATTTGGAGAACAGGGATATTGTTCATGATATGTTATTTATTATTATTATTATTATTATTATTTTAATGACAAGTTTTGGAATTGGGGAGATTCGAAGTTCAAACTTGAAACCTTCTAGGACTTCATCCTTGTAATTTTTTTGTTTTACTTGACAATACTGCTTTTATGCTGTATTCTGGCTCAAGAACTCCTGTAATTTAGACCTCAGCTTTGATTTCTCCGTTTTAACTTTTTGTTGAGAATTATAGTAATTTCTGGGTTGATGGTATACAGGCTGATAACTCGAACTTGAATTTGAATCAGAAAGATGAAAATGAGACTAATCTTTGTATACGATACACTGTTCCAAAAAGGCTCACCAAGTAGCACATTCAACAAGTTTTCTCTTCTCTGTGCACAATTAAGCAAGACAAAAAAATATTAACTTGTCCACACAATTAAGATACCAGATTTTTTAACATGGGAAACCCAGGGTTAAAAACCATGGGAACTAGTCCAGCAAAAAAACATCCACCACAAAGTTGACATTATTACAAGTTTTCTTCTATTCTAGGAAACACTAGGGGTTGCACGCAACAATAAGTCATCAAAAATAAATTTTTGGATGACCAATGTCATAATCATCATTAAAATAAAACTTGAAGTCAAAATCTCCAATCAAATTGGGATAAATCTCACCAAGTGTGCTGTTGCAGCTCATTCTCACGGTCTCTCAAGTACTTTTGCAATGTTGATCAAAACAGGACACTAGCTGTTATTTAAAGTTCCACTGACTTGACACACTCAAAGTCCAAGCCCCCTGCAGTTCATGTATGCATTCATGAAGAGTTTTCTCAACACCAAATCAATGGACACATACATCAGAAGAATCCTGAAGAAATAAGAAATGGTTAGTTAACATATTTGAGTATGGCACATAAATTAGTGTAATAATACGTTCACCTACGACAACTAACTTGGGTTTAAACTTTTAGATTTTGCACATTTTAAAGGATTAAAATGTGAAAATGCACCTTGAAATGATTTATGCATAATGCTGCCTCGAAGCATTAGTCCATCCACCTTTGTCTATATCCTCAAATTGTCCTTGATCAAGGGAAATGACAAGAAAAGCTAGAAGACCATGTCCTGTAAATGTGAATCAAAGCTTAGCATTTTCTTGATGAATGATAGAGAATCTCTCTGAATAACTGATGGATGAGAAGGTGAAGCCTGACTTACCAGAAAGGCCATTCTTTGGAGGGTAGAAGTTTGTAGCTGCAAGCCTGCTACTATGACGATCTTTTGAACACCACCGTTTCTCATCAAGTTAGATCTTGAAGCTACATTGCAAGTCAGCCCATTGTTAAGTAAAGCTAAAGCAGCAGTGTTTGTGCTGCAATCTTGGCTGCAACTTAAGATGAATAAAGAGAGAACAGATGCACATTGTTGAATCATTCATTTCTGACTCATCAAACTGGAAGCATCACCTCCCACATGAAAGGCAGTGTTAACGTCAAAGTGTTCAGCGCCTACTTGTTGAAAAAAGATCTTGCCTAAAAAGGGAGGCTTGAACTTGGAATCTTGGATCAATCAGCTTCTAACTAATCCTGTAGTTGACTAGAAAAAGGTTAAGGGTTTAATAAGATGCTATAAGATTCAAGACCTGAACTAAGTTAGACGTTACACAGTTGTAGGAGAGCAGACTAAAATTATGGGAAATGTGAGATGAATAAGAAGATGGGGATGGAGGAAAATAAGGGAACGTGTGGGAGACTAACTTCTTGATGTCTACCTGATTTCCATGCATTGGAATCAGATTAAGATAATGAAAAAAGGAAAATACAAACAGCTGGTAAAACAAATACAAGACAACCAAAATCAATTAGAATCTAAAACCTTTCTTTTTTTAATTAGCAAATAAAATTATTAAACGGGGTACAAGCAGTACGCCGATGCATGTACAATTTAGAGTATGCTCATAACTTCTGGCACATGAAAGGAAAAGGGGAGTCACAAAACCAAGGGGTCCTACATTGGCCTAACAAGATTTTGCTATGTCCTCTGTACAAGCAACTGGGAACATGAAAAAAAGGGTGGGAAATTAGAAAAATCAAAGGCAAGACTGAAATTAGATGGAGAAAATAATTCAGAGTTTGGATGGAGAAAAAGAATGCCAAGCATACATAGTAATATGGTATAACTTGTTATTGAAGAAGACAAAAAGCATCAATAGTAACATAAAAAGGAAAGATGGATAAGTGAATTGCTGAAATGAAATCAAAGTAAAATAATAACACAAGCTGTAGAAATCTATAGGATCTGGAAAAAAAATTTTAAAAAAAATTTTCAGAATAAATGATAGAAATTAGACGGTCTTTAATGCAATCAGTACATATTAATCAAGAGAAGGAAGCAATGGGAAATAATCATTTAATTCTAAGGCAGCTAACAGCATAGATGGTAGAGGCATAGACTAGTATATCATCAAAATGTGTCATTTTGTTGAAGTAAAATGAACAATAGAGATAGCCTGATATATCAGTTTTGATTCCTTGTCCTAAACATTAAAAACATATAGCAACGCGAATAGGGCATCATAATAAAATTTTAAAGAGGTGCTTTGAATACTTACAAGGTAAGTTCTACTTTCCTTGCAGCTCAACTTGCTCAGATTACAAGCTTGCTTAATTCAGAAAAGGTCATCTATGTTCCAGTTCCAACTTACAGAAAAATCTCATTTGAACAAAGGGCAGTTTGAATGACATGCAACAGGCAAGAAGGAAGGTCCTAATACATATTGAGAATTTAAAATTGAAATTGGTTGGCTTGCCTAAGAACATCTTTTTGCAAGCTTATTGGTGGTTGTGAATTTCTGTAATGCCAAGGCCAACCACTCACTCACTTTGAAATAATCTAAAAGCGTAAACCATTTTAGAGGTAACTGAATGCATGTTTTAGAGGAAAATAAATTTAAGGTGGATAATAAATAGTATATATACTGCTGACAAATCCAAGGAATTTATCAAGAAACCAGTGAGAAGTGCAAGCTTGCTTAATTCAGCAAAGTTTTGGGCAATTTACATAGCAGTTCATCATCCTTATAAATAAAAATAAATCCAAGGAATGAATGAAGTACCAGTAACATTGAGGAGTGGCTTGGCTTTATGTACCTCAACAATTAGTTGTTAGCTAGCTCTTGTAGTCAACCTGCGTAAAAAGGATTTGCAATGCAAATAAATATAAGAAAAGGCAGCACAAGTCAAGGAAAAGTGTCATCTATATGTACTGAGTATTAAAGGTTTGTATAAATTCTCATATGAAAGGCATAAAATGGTGATGCCTGTTTCAGTTCACACCAGCTTTTATTACCTCTTCCCCATCTATCTCAATGCGAACGATGCTCTGAGTGAGAGTCCAGTAGTCTCCTTTTGCCTCAAAGCGTTTTCGTTTTAGAAGTGGACACCCGCTGATGTATAGTTGTTGAAGCGGAGGGAAGGCTTCCCTTGGCAAAGATCGGAGATTCGGGCAGTTAACTATCCATAAGAATTGAAGGGAGCTTAAGTTTTGGAAGAGCCCCCCAGGTATGGATTTCAAATTTTCTTCATTCCAGATCCCAAGAGAGGTTAAAGAAGAAGGTAGCATAATATCCAGATGGAATTTCTGCTCAATTGACAACCATCGAAGAGACGTAAGGTTTTGGAGGCCCATCATCAAAGCCCCACCAGGGATCCTTAGAAACTGAAGTGATCTGAGCTCGTACATTGTATGTGGCACACACTTGAGATTCTTACAGTTCTCTAATTCAAGATCTCTTAAGTTTGGGGGCAAACCCCGATCTGGAAGGAACTCGATGCTGAGGCACGAAACCATCCATAGCCTTCGAAGAGATTTCAGCTGGTACATTGTACTTGGGAGGGACTCTAAAGCTTCACAATAGCAAATAGATAATTCAACGAGATTACTGACGCAATCAAGGGTTGGTAAACTTTTCAACTTTTTACAGTCGTAAATAGCAATAGATTGGAGTCCCGTACAATGCTGCAACATCCTCTCTGGAAGTGATTCCAAAAACTCGCAACCATCAACTTCAAATTTCTTGAGAAAAGCTGGTAGTTGATAACAACGACCCTGAGAAGAGTAAAGACATAGAAGATTCTTTATTTCCAAATATAGATTGCTATTGTCGTCACCATCTGCATCTGGTAGAGACTCAAGACCCTCACAGTCTTCTATTTTCAAGTATTTAAGCGTGATGGGTAACTTGCCTCTTGGAAAAGACGTGAGAGAAAGACAACTAGAAATTTCTAGCTTTTCAAGTCTCAACATCAACATACTAGTGTTGCTACTACTGCTTCCATCCATCTGCACCATCATTGCATTGGGTAATGACTCCAAAGCTTCACATTCCACAAGCCTAAGCTGTTTAAGATTGAAAGGCAAAGTGCTTTGTTCTATATCTGTTCCTTCCTCCCACAAACAAGTAAGATCATCACAGCCTTCAATATAGAAACTCTCTAGTGCTGTCAAGGACTGTGTGAAACTCTCAGGCAAGCAAGTCAGTTTTGAAATTTTCTCAACTCTCAAATTAACAAGCGAGGTGAGATCATATATACCCTTCAAAAGCATTGCATTGCAGCTTCTAACATCTAACTCTTTAAGTGAAGAAAGATTGATAGGTAATTGTCCTAACAACTGAGGACAGTTTTCAATCACAAGTTTATGAAGACAGGGGAATTCACCTGCACTTCCAGTTGGAGAAGTCCATTCCATCCAATTTATCATGTTTTTAAACACCAGTTCAACTAGTGATGGAAAAGAGCCATGCTGCCCATAAAACTTAGGACCTATAGCTTCTATTCCCTCCATGCCTTCAATAATCAATTTTCTAAGAATAGGTAGTAGGCCTAGTGATGGTAACGAGGTGCATCTGTTACAATTGTTGAGCTCCATGGATGATAAATTGGAAAATAATGATGGATCACACACCCAATCTGGGAAACTATTGCCACCATAGCAAGAAATTTTGAGACTTTTCAAATTTGAATGAGGTTTTAACCAGTTGAGGACTAATTGATCTTGATCATTACCAGGAGCAGTCCACTCCAAGGCTAACTCTTCCAAACCATGGATCTTGTCTATGTTGGCCTCCTTAGCATCTTGAACATCCAAAACATTCTGCAAATCTAGAATAGACAATCTTCCTCGAAGTTGCGACAAGTTCTTCAAACTAGATAATCTCATCAATCCATTTGCCTTCCCTACAATAAATTTGGGCAATGTTAAAAGATTTTTAAGATTGCCAATTCCTGATGGCATCTCTTCTAAAGATGGCGTATCAGTGATATCAAGATAAGAAAGATCAATTAGATTCCCAATCGTGGTAGGCAACTTACGAAGCTCACCACAACCACATAATAGCAGTGTTTGCAACAAGAGAAGATAACCCACTGATTCAGGTATAAATTCGATTTGAGTACCAGACAAGTCAATGTACCGAATATGTTTCAAATTTTCCAAAGAATCAGGTAGCTTTCTTATCTGATATTTGCATAGAGATAGCACTCTTAAGCAATTTAAAGTTGGCAAGAAGTCATGCAAGACTTTGTTAGACAAATACAAGTAATTGCAGTAACTGAGTTCTTTTAGAGGCAAAAATGTTCTCAAATGCTTCAATTTATCCAAGACTATGAATCTCTCTGAGATTTCATAAAAGCATGGAGTGAATGACAAATGACGAGCCTTCTCTAATTTTTCATCACGTTCAAGATTGCAATAGATTTCTCCAGCAACATTTACAGCTAATTCATTTATGAGGTCATGCATCACAAAACGTGATCTATTTCCAGTTGATTGTTGAAAGAGTGATCTTGAAAATAATTCTTGGAAATATTGATTACCAATCTCTTCTTCCATTTGCTTCTTTCCATGTGACTGTTGCTGTAACAAGCCCCCAGCCATCCATAATAGGACCAATTCTTTTTTGTCAAATTCATAGTCCTTAGGGAACAAAGCAAAATAAGCAAAGCATTGCTTCAAGTGAGAAGGAAGATGATTGTAGCTCAATCTCAAAGCTGGAAGAATTCCACTTTTATCTTCTGATGAACTCCATATCTCATTGTTTAATATATTTTCCCACTCATCAGGATGTAGCTTTCCCCGCAAAATGCCACCCAGTGTTTTTAGTGCTAATGGCAATCTTTGGCACCTCTTAACAAGCTTCTCACCAATATCTTGTAGGTCTAGGTGTGCATCAAAGTTCTCTTTTCCTAGAGCATGTCGTGTAAATAATGGCAAACAAGCATCATCTTGTAGCAATCCTAAATTGTAAACTCCATCATCTCCTCTCATCATCATCCCAACATCCTTATTTCGAGTTGTGACAATTATTTTACTTCCAATAGCTCCTGACATGAAAGGTCTCTTCATTACATCCCATTGGTCATATTCCTTATTCCAAATGTCATCCAATACAAGAAAAAACTTGCGCCCAGATAACTTTTCTTTCAATTTCTCTTGAAGCAAACCAAAATCAAAGTCACACCTTTCCCCAGTTACATGTTCTAAAATGGTTTTTGTTATTTTTGGAACATCAAATACATCAGAAACACAAACCCATGCCTTCAAATCAAACCAGCCTTGCAATTTTTCATCATTGTAAATGAGCCGAGCAACAGTTGTCTTGCCTAGTCCACCCATTCCAACAATGGGAATAACAAAGTCTTGTTCAAAACTACCTCCATCTTTTAGCAACCTCTGAAGAATAGCATCTCTATCACTATCTCGACCCATCACCTTATCTTCAAGAAGAGAAGACTCAGGTAGTCTTTCTGCAATTATGTAAGACTTTTTTTTACCTTCCATAGCCAAATTGATCGGGCCCAAAGTATGCATGTCCTTCTCAATTTGCTGCAATCTACTAGTTATATCCTTCAATCTGCAATTGATCTCTCCACTGGGCTTGGCTTGAGATCTAAATAAATTCTTAAGACTGGATTTGACTTTTTGCCCCTTGCTGATGCTAGCTTCAGATTTTGCAATCAATTCGAACCTCTTGGCATCAATCACAAACTCTTCAAGTATGTCCTCCATATCATAAGCCAAGTTCCTGAGATCATCAAGACATGACTTCACAAACTGGTTCGCAACTTGATTTTCTTCTGCATGTTGAAGAACAGTAGTGATTTTGGGCAAAAGAGTCTTCCAACACTCCATTTGAGCACATACTTCGTCCTTTGAATTCCGTAGTTGATCACTTAGATATTCATTCAACTTTTGGAGTAGCAAGTCAAATGTAACAGACAAAAGAGAACCTCCAACAAGAGATAAGACCTCCATTGGATGAAACAGCTTTTCTGCAAAAGAGAAAGGAGCAGATTGTAAGTACAAAGTAGATTGATCTATTGAATACCATAGATACTACATAGTTTGATTTAGATCTTCAAAGTATTAAAAACGTATACATATACATACCTTAATTAGCTAGATTGCAACTGCTTAGCGGCTTTTCCTTACTCAGTGATGGATGCTCAAAGCTAAAAAGTTGTTGGGTTTTGCAAAAAGATTAATTAATTAAGCTTAATTTAATTAAATATCCAGAAATATGAATCGAGCAAATGGAATATTAGATTGAAAGAGACAATTAAAAGAAAATGCAATCATCATAATATTTTAAAGATAAACCTTAATTAGGAATAATTAGATGCTCTAATGAATTAAAAAACAGTCAATAATTAAAAATTTTTTAAATAAAAATACATTCAAACAGTACTAATTATATCACCTAATATTATCTCTCCTATTTGTTTAATATACTAGTATATGTAGTGATTATCCAACATAAAAATAAAGAAAAAAACACACACAGAAAGAAGTAACGATCTGAGGTTATATTTACATACTTACATATATATATATATATATACACACATGAAATGATGGCAAAAAGCCAAAGAAAACATATAGTAAAATGAATTTTGAGTAAAAATAATGTAGGTAGCTATATCTATGGCTGGGGATTAAGAAAAGCGTACCTTCTCAACGCTCAAAGCTGAAAGCGGGAGGAGAAATTTGCTGGGAATTGACTACGGAGATGGAAAAGTACGTAACACAAGAA